GGCTTTCCCCGTGGACAAAGCGGAGTCCAGCCCGGGGTCGTCACATGTGGTTGCCGCAAGCCCGCCGGACGCTCCTTCGTCGAATCCACCACCTCTGCTCACTCTAGCCCTCCGGCCGTTCCTCACTTTTCCCCCATGCCTCTGCTCACTCTAGCCCGCCGGCCGTTCCTCACTTTATTCCCCCGGCCTCTGCTCACTCTAGGCCGCCGTGTGTGATGCTGTGTTTCGTTGTGAAAGCGAAACTACTTTGTTTGGCATTCCAAAAATGGACACGTTATGGGGTAAGATAACAGCTGTGTTACTCTCAAACAATGAGAAATGTGTGAGAAATCTCTTTTTAAATCAGTAAAACCATTGAACAAATGAAGCACATTTATGACAAATATTGAAGTTCCTTGAAGTTCTGGGTTATCAGTAAAGATTGGTCATAGTTATGCTCTTTTTTTAGGTATACATAAATTTACAAAGAAACTGCGCAATCCATATGCCATTGAAAACAGTGAGGTGATGGATTTCCTCTCCAGAGTGCCTTCAGATGTTCAAATGGTAATTACTACAAATAAGCTTCTTTTTTTTTTATCCTGTAATGTAATAATGTTTTGTGTATGAATGAGGCTATTGGCTAATAATGTATACAATTAATTTAATTTAAAATGTATGAATATGCCATTGAAAACAGTGAGGTGATGGATTTCCTCTCCAGAGTGCCTTCAGATGTTCAAATGGTAATTACTACAAATAAGCTTTTTTTTTTTTATCCTGTAATGTAATAATGTTTTGTGTATGAATGAGGCTATTGGCTAATAATGTATACAATTTATTTAATTTAAAATGTATGGTATAATTAAAAATAATACAATTTTACCAAATTATACCAATATAATTTATAATATACAGTATAATTTAAAGTTTAGCAAACTAATTCATATGTAACTGTCCATTTTTAAAACAAGGTTGTACACCTAAAGAATTGAAGTCCTTTTATTCTACATACTATTATTCAACACAATAATGAACACCTCTCTCACTCACCTCAGATTTTGCATTGCGGTTGTTTAAGAGCCGGTGAAGTTTAACAAAAAAATATGTATGCATAAATCATTTCAAATGTCTGCAATTAGATGACTGAATGCACTGCCTTTTCTCAATTTGCTTATTTGTCTGGAAGCTTAGTAAAAAATAACTATACTGAAATGCATTTGAAATACATTTATTTCATGCTAAGTATACTTCAAATACATTTACATGCGTATGTACTCGATAAAAAATACCCTGCAATTGTACTTTTGGTATACTAAACTGGTATGCTTAAAATCTAATCATTTGGAACAACTAATAATTGTGCGGACGTAGTGCTGAAGTCCAACTAAAGATATACTGAAGTATATTTGATTATGCTAAAGTGGAACTATTGCAAATATAGGTACACTTTAAATATCTTGCATTTAAAGACTGATATTATTCAAACATCATACAATCCTCATCAATAGTGACATTAAAACACATTTTAGGCTTAATATTAAGAAATGTGCGTAGTGCACAAGTAGTACTCCAAATATAGTTTAATGCTAATTTTAATATCTTGAGCGATGTGTCAGTAAATATGTTAATAGGTTTGAACTATACTTAGTATGACAAATGTATTTTACATATATGACTTTTTTTACTAGGGTTCTCATGTCTTGAATTCTTCTTATTTTTTCAGGCACAGTACACTGAATTGAGCAGCTGTAGTTTCCACAGTCCTAACAGGAGAAGAAAAGCATCCCCTTAGACACTAGAATGAGAAACGCTGGTCTCCTGAGAACATTCTGTGTGAAGAGCCTTTGAAGGTGCCAAGACTCGACGGCCAGGGAATTATTTCAACATGGATTTAAGCAGTTGATCTGCTTATTTTATTTGAGCGAACTGAAATCATCCCCCCCAGATGGTCCGGTTTTCACTGCTGGGTTGTGCTGAAGCACCTTGCTTAATAACACAGACACATATTAACACTAACAGCAGCATTGAGGGATGAAGAAATGTGACTAAGATAAACTGAATGGTTAAAGTGTAGGATACACCGCAGTGGGCCTTAAACATCCATCTATAGATGCAGTGCCTGAACGACACATTGTGTACAGTATGAGTGCAATACTTTGCTGTTTTATACTTGATGCATTTCTTAATTTTGTCTTATCAGACTTGTAAAAATATGTTTTGTAAAGTCACATTCTGTACAAGCTTATTTTTGTTGAACTGAACTTATATTGTAACATAGCATTTTCCAAATGTGGTTTAATTTTCTTTTGTTTTTATTTTATACACACATTGATTTTGAAGTCTTTTTAATCTATTATTTGCATTTTAATTATTGCTGAAAAATGTAAGATGCGTGAAATTGAATACATTTTAAAGTCCCTTTGACAAACTCTAGGTGTAAAAAACTAATTTTAACTACATTCTCCTGTCAAAGTTTGCCTTTTGTGCAATATAAGGTTCTAGACATGGTTTTATTGTTTAAAAGTGGTAATTGTAGATAAAAAAAAAAAAATGCAAGTGCACTTCTGATTTGTATTTTACAGATTTTTACCGATTGACTTGCTCACATGAACATTATGAATATCACAGATGTTTTTGTACTCTTTGGTATTCCGTTTTGTAACATGGTCATTTCACAGTAAACATTTACTACATTTGATGACAGATGTGTTTGTGTTCTTATGAAACCGAATAAACACAATCACTGCGAAATTAGTTACATAAATGCAGATCTACAAGGAAGAATGTATAAAGCAATATAACCCTTCAGATTCTTTACACAATGGTTGTTTGAGAATATTCAACCACATAGTGGCAGTGTTTTCCTTTAATGGGATCCCATCCTGCAGTTCATCCACTGCACAGCTGATCTGTCTAACCATTCAAGAAAAACATAAAAGGGATAATTCACCCAAAAATGAAAATCATGCTAAAAGGATGGCATATTTTTGCAGACCAAAACCCAGAAACTCTGGAACTTCAGTTCAGTTGTCCCAGTCATTTCATGTTTTACTCTACAACATAAAATACAGTAACTCATCTACTCAATCTGCTTTTACAGCTTCATTGTATTTATAAATCACTCTTGAAAACTGTTCTGACTCAAAATATCAGGCAATGTGTGTTTTAGATTTTTTAAAAAAACCAAGAAAAACAGAAGCTTAATGGTGATGTGACTGTGTTGTACTTTTGTTTAAAGTTGGGGTAAGTGATTCCAATGTTGATATTTCAAATCACCAAAACAAACACGCCCCTACCCCAAAAGAAACACGCCCCCATTTTGATAGCTCCGCCCCATACATACGTACGCAACGATTAGTTCTGTGAAACAAAGAAAAACCAATGTTACACCGTGTCTACACCGGACGCGAGCGGCCCAACAAAATATACTATAGAACTACTACTGTATATATAAAATACTATAGAACTCATAATCAGTGATGCTGTCTGCACTGGATGCCGTGCGACGCGGCACGACAAATCCCCAACGGAACTGCGGCGTTCTATTTATGACGTGTTGACAAATTTCAAATGATTTTCAACGGTCGCTTTATCGCGTCCAGTGTAGACAGACTAGCTGTCGCGTCCGGTGTAGACACGGTGTTACTCACCTATCAAGAAGAAACAAAGCAACCTTGGAGTCCGATCGCAGGGCTTCCGCTCCTTGAGTTCTCTCCATCGCTGGAAAGCTGATCCGATATTTACACGGGTCCTACTTCTTGCCTGATTGTAAGCCTACTTTTGTTCCACAGACGGTTTCCTCTTTTGTTATTTTTTAATCCGCCATCTCTATCTTTCTGTCATCGCTCGACTCGCTAATGTCCGTCCCGTGCACTGAGCGCTCTCTCCTCCGCATCATGAGTAGACACACCTCTTACTGCTGATTGGATACAAGTTTGTTTTGGTACTCGGCCCGACTCAGTTTTCTAAAGCATTTTTGAAAAATACATACCCCACCTTTAAAGCCTAAGCTTATTACTTCTTCTCATTGTATTTAGGTTTTGAAATTCATAAAAGTTGTTTATTTATTAAGATTATAATGAACAAAATCCTATGGGTTCTTGTTGAGAGAACCAAGTTGATATAACATCCGGGTTGGTCTACAAAACTGTCATTCCAGGCAGTTACTCGTGTCAAAATATCTTTTGTATTCCACAGAAATGAGAATGACTTACAGGTTTAAAACAACATAAGGATGAGTAAATGACAGACTTTTCATTTTGGGGTGAACTAGAATGCACTGAATTTCAACAGCAGGTTAACTCCCATAGTTTGAAATCCTGAAAGTAGATCTTACACCTCTAGAGAAATACACAGAATACTTTTCTAAACCAGCTCACGGAATCACATTTTCAGTGAAAATCTGGCTCTTAACACCATGTAATTGGCCCGTCTCTTAACTATTTTGGGTTTGAACACTCCCACCGTGTTTGGATAATGAGAGGGCTTCTGTGAAAGAGCTGAAGAGCCAAGAACGAAAGTCTGAAATATCATTCCTCCACCACCCTTAATTAGTTCCTGTTAGCATTTCGCCATTAGCAGAGGAATAAATGTCACGTCTGACCACAAAGATGAAGCCCCATGTATCATCAAAAGATCAAAATTAGATAAACGACAACAAGATCATAACTATCATGCCTCTAGAGTCTAGACACACTCTAGTTCAGCCTGAGCAGAACACGACTAATCATGGGAGGAACAGCAACTCTAGACGGGCTGGAAGTCAATAGTTTGATTCAATTTTCCATCTTTCTTCCTATGATTAACACTGTAAAGCCCGACATGAAATAAGTCAGAATTTTCAGAAACGGGAGAGTTTGTTAACTCTTTAGAGAAAATATATATTTTTAAATCCCTCCAAAAAAAGTTGCATGTTTTTGAGTATCACATTTGATACATCAGACTTCTATGACTCATTTAATGTAATTTAGGAAAATATACTTGCCGACAAAAAACATTTATTCAAAGACCCAAACGGAGCAAAAATATGCAATTTGGTGCAGTTGCTTATATTTATATGGGCAGCTAGTAAGATGAAATTCTGATGGCTTATAAATGTAAATCAATAAGAACTTTACAAGCTAACTGTATACATTTATTAATATGCATTTTAATATCAGTTATCACTTCCCAATAATATGGCTTCGATGATTTAAATGCTTCGCTTTATGATCAACGTATGTTTTTATTATGGGGGCAAAACAATGCTATTCAATTCAGTGATTGAGAGATGAACAAACTCAAAAGCCTGTTTTAACAATTTATGTAAATAAAGTATGGATAATCAAATTCAAATTTGCTTCAGTATAGGTGTTCATCTTGAAATATTAAAAGTATTTTTATGTTTACTTCAAAAAGATCAGTAAAG